ATATGCATCATGATTCACTTTTCTATTAAATGAACACATACTATGTTTCCTCAGTACTTTCAGCTAGACTCTGAACCTCTGTTTTGTTTCATTCTGATACAGTATTTATTGTAGCTAATAACAGTTTTAGTTCTCCAATAAGCTTTCATATTCCATAAACATACTTTTTTCATCTAAAGATTGTGTCAGTTTTTAAACTCTGGGGCTAATTTTTCCATATAGACCTTATAAATCTATGATACATTTCTTCAAAGTATTTATCTAAAATAATTGTTGCAAGTTGGGATTTAAAAAAATGATTCAAAAGGATATTAAATTAATATTCTTTGCAAGCCAGCAAAGTATTAAGGATGTATGCTTAACTGTATGTGTGAATAGTAGAAACATAGTAACTGTTTTGACAAATTATTTAGTCACCAAATGATAATTGCAGGGCACCCAAAACTATTTGCAAATTCACAACAAATTTGGTGAATAATTCTGGTCAAAACAAACCCAAAAAAATACAAATACTGAAATGAATTGTTTTGACATTTCTGAAATAAAACATTTTGATTCGCGGGTTAGGTTCATGAGAGGATTTAGGTGTTACCTCTATGATGATTCGGGATCTAACCTGGAATGGGGGATAATACATGTGGGTTCTAGCCTGTGCTCCAAGTCACCACTTTCTTCCTACTTTGCCATTCCTTCTTTGATGAATGATAGATACATGACTTTCTGAATCTTACTCTTTCCTTGCCAAATTTTGTCTTGTAAAAATGACCGAAAACAATATAAATTTAGAAACAATAGAACTACATTTCTTCATGTAGGTTAATACATTATGCATTGCTCTTCAGGAAAAAATGGTTAACACATTTTCAGGTCAGAAAGGACTCCTCTGACAGGATTATTCTGACACATATAACACAAGCCATAGGTTTTCATGGAGTTAGTCTTACATTAAGTCCATATCTTCTGCAGAAACTAAACCATATAATTTAAAAAGACATCCAGTCCTAATTTCTGATAGTAGTATTTTAAATTAGATATGGAGGAGGCCCATAAGCTATCGACCTCCTTATTTTCTAACATTGATCTTTATAGTACATTTTCAAGTGTTTTGTTCAGTCTTGCTTGAATTGAGTGAAGCAAGGCACTTACTATATTTTTCTTTGGAGAAGTTTGCAGTTCAACAATCATATTCAGCAAAGCATATAAGCATGGTCTTATAGATAAGCATGTTTAGAAATATTTTGCTGAATTAGGATCTATGAATAAACAATATTCATGCGAATATCAAACTAAAAATATTTTTGTTTATAAATATATGGATTATCATAAACATTAGTCAATTAACTGTAGAACTTCATCAACATGTAATAACATAAATTACTTTAATGTGCAAGATAGCTTCTTCTTATGAAGCAAATGGTCATGCACTGTATATTATTAAAAAACAAAACAAAATACTGCCTATAGTATTCCATAGCTCTGATGTTGGCCTTCACGGTAAATTAAACTTAAGGAGTGTTCAGAAATTCCAAACCAGAAAATCACTTTACAAACAACATATCAAATGAGATACCAGAAACACAGCACTGAATATATATAGAATGCTCTTCTAAAACTATTTAATAGCTGGAAAATAGAATTACCCTACTGTGAATAAAATGGAATTTTGGGGAAAAAAAATATTGTTCTTAATAGGAACAAGTTAAAAAAATTAAACTATTCTTTGTGGGAGGAAAATGCTGAAAAATCCCATTTTGAGCAAATTAAATTAGAACTATTTGCATTACTCTCTGGATTGCCCAACTTTCTTGGCAGTTAGGCTGTTTGGAGCAGCAGGAAGCCAACTACTTGGGGCATTTATACATGTGCTCTGGGAACGGAGGAGGGGAGGAGCTTTAATTAGAGTGGCTTCAAGAGCAATATTGTAAAAGCAATATGGAAAGTATGCGTCTAACCCTCAGAAAAAGGGGAAAAATGGCAAGTATGGTATCCTGCTGTTGGATGAGGAATGGAGAGTAATGGTAAATAGAAAAAATGATTAGAACACTGTGGGCATGTATATACAAGACGCTACTGCACAGTGGTTACTGCACGTTTATTAACTAGTTGTATAAGCAAGCACTAAATAAACTCCAGTTACTGTGCAGTAGAGCTGGCGAATACCTTTTAAGTGACACTACTGCACAGTAGCCTAATAATATTGTGCAGTAGTGTATTAGCACTGTTGGTGCTCTGACGCACTACTGCACAGTAGTATCCAGCTACTGTACAGTCAGCATCTCATGTAGATGCACCCACTATGTACCTCCACTGTGTGAGGATTGTACCCATCGCAACAGACATCTGAAGGGCCTCTCTCTTTTTCTTAATTTGGAAACACTTATAAATTAACATGCTAATAAAGTTTTATTAACTTGTAATGATATTTTATGAAAATTATGTCTGAACATCGTTCAACTGTAAGTAGTCACATCAGAAGAAAGAGTTGGAATTAGTTCTGAATTAGCAATTCCTTTAAGACGTTACTGGCCACTTGGCTTAAAGAGGAATGACTGATATCCAACATATTCCTTGTTTGCAGTTCCAGGTTCCAGTGTTGTAATAATAGTAATAAAACAGGTGCTACCCAATATAGAGCTTTTCATTGGCAAAGAGAGAGAATTTGAACTGCTTTGTGATACCAGACTAATAACACTGCATAATTGCAACAGTTGCCAACTCTGATGCTATATGCTGGATAGTTGGATTAATGATGTATAAGAAGTCTTTGCCTTCCAGTATTCATCATTCACTGATTTAAAACTTGTTTCTGTATTCAAGGATCACATTAAATAATTAAAGCAAACTAACCTCAGCTTGATTTTGGATACAGTTCAGTTTGCAGGGAATGGTTGCCAACGCAGACTGAATTGACCATCCCACTTTCAACCTGCCCTAATTCCCTTTACGAGTTAATTATTTAGTGCTGGTGCAGTACTTGGAAGAGACCCATATAGGAAGCATCTGGGCGTTGTCTGGTCATGGAGTGGGTGGGATAGTTCTTAACAGAAAACAAATATGAGCTGCCTACAGATCATAGTGGGCAAGTTCCCCAATGTCCTTGAAGTGTAACACAGGCTTTAGTTTCCTTGGTTACTGGAATGATCTATTAGTCAACATAGAATCTCAGCATTTAGACACAACCTACTTCTACATTTCTAATAGCCACATAAGAATGGGAAATATCTAGTTTTCTATTTTTGCTTTATAAAAGATGTGTCATTTTCCCCCAGTCTTACAGAAGAGCAAACTTATATGCAAGGTCATTGTTTAGGGTGAACACTGATGGTCCCTGTTTGGGTGGTGGGTTAGGCTCTTTGCTATAACAACATTATTAGATGTTTTATTTTTTATTTCTCTCTAACAGACATAAATCATTGAAAACTGTCAGTCCAAGGTTTGGAATCTCAAGCAGGGAGCATCTTGTTACTTCAGTTATAGAACCAGATCCCTGATGCTGTTCTAAATCCCAGGTAAATTGACCATACCCAGGGATTCTCCAAGATGATCTGGAAAATGATGTCTTTGTCCTTTTCCTTTGGCCACTGGGATCCAAAAAAGCTGTTTCCATGGAAACTCTAGGTAGAATTTACATTTGTTGCTTTCCCTTCCCATCAAAGAAAGGTGGTGGTTACATTGAAACTGCAAAGATTACAGAACATACCCTATCACCTTTACCTGTGAGGTAGAAACAAGTCCTAATTCCTAGTGTGTGGATAACACATAGGAATAACAATTGATTCGTTGATTCATAACTATTGAATAACAATAGTTCTTAACAATTGAACTATTCTCAAATTCATGATTAATGTGAAGCGCTGTGGTTCTAACACTAGGGGTTGGAAGTGAGCACCCAACCAGGCATGCCTTGCAGTGTGCCCCATGCTGCAAATTAGCAGAGCCGGGCTGGGGGCAGGGGTTTAACACCGGGAGATCCCAGTGTCAGAAAACCTTGTGCCCGGAAAGAGAAGAGCAGGGCAGTGCACGTGGCAGCAGGATGCTGCACTCAAAACTGGAGCCTGTCCGCCTGCAGCCACATTCCAGCTGCGGGCCAGGCTCCTTGCTGCCGGATCGTCACTACTGGAGACCTGGGAGGCCCTGAGGTAAAGCTGCCGGGGCCAGCCCAGGTGCTTGACCCAGCTCCCCTTAACTCACCCAGGGCAACTTGTTGGGCGCCAGAACTGAAGGCTTCCAAGAGAAAAGATGTGGGGCATTATACCTACAGATGGAGAATGTTACTAATTAACTAAATCGTTATATTTCTCTTGTGTGTGTAATTTTTGGCTGAGCCATTTTATCATGACACACTTTTTTGTCCTAATGCCAAACATACGGAGTAGGCTGGACAAGGAGGCCAGGCAAACACGTGTTCCTTGCGTTGCCAGAGAGGCGGCCTGGCTCCACACGGCTCGCTTCATCTCATTGATGTTCCCTGAGGAAGGATCTATTCTATACCTTCCTCTCCTCCCCCCCCCCCCCCCTGTTAAGTGGGGCAGTGGTGTGACCATTTAGTACTGCCCTTATCAGCAACTCCTGCTTGAGCTGCCCCGAAGGGAGCCCTGATGCACTGGGAAGCAAGGAAGTGAATATAAAGAGCAGGGCTGGCAAACACCACCCAGCAGAGAGACAGCAACACCAAATGCATCCAGGTGGTAGATCTAGGGAAAAGAAATTGAACAAAACAAGTGGATTCAGTATCTTGTTTCTGTAGGAAGAAAAAATATTTTCTTCTGCCCCGAGCCTGCAGAACTGCTGTGAAAATTAAGAAGAAACCGCGGTCTCTGGCAGGGGTTCACGCACGGCCCCGGGAAGTGTGAGGTGGCTTTGGAGACACAAGTGGGGCTTTTGCAGGAGCCCGGGGCTGTTGCTGAGGCGGATAGGGCTGGGGCAGAGCCTGCAGAGAAACGCCGTACTTCGGTTTCAGGGCCGGCTCGGCAGCGCTGCC